GACCATGCTAGGCACCGTTTCATCTGCCTCAGCAAACTTGTCAGGCAGCGTGTCAAGCAGTGCCGTGTTCTCTTCGTTAATCATCGACTTGGTTACCTCGAGAGTCAACGTTGCCTTTGCCGCCTTCTTTATCCGAGTGTGGTGCTTTTCAACGGAGAAAGCTGACTCGGATGAAGAGTTTATTGCGTCGGGTCGCTTCACATTTACGGGTACAATCTGCTTGCGCGAGCCGTGTCGCTTGTCTGCAGTGGCGTCCTTAACCACAAATTCGACAGCCATTGTCTGAAGCGCCTGAATGAAGTTCGTAGTCGCTATGCCATTGAGCGGCTGTGGCTACCGTTTCGTAAGCAGGGTCGTGAAATTAATATTAGCTCGGCTGCGGTTCTTCTTGTTGTGGACCATCGAGAAATCGCTCGAGCTATTGCCATTCGTCACAGCAATAGCGGCGCCGTTACCTTACCCATTGGACTATCGGGCGCTGAAATCTTACTATTTGAATTATCGAACGTCGAGATTGAGAGCGCGTCGTCTCAGACACTCGAAATTTGAGCGATTTGATGGCACCAGTAGGAAAGCCATGCGGAGCTACGTGGGGGAGCTTCCTATTGCGCTTCTTAGTCTCTCGACTGCCATTTGCAGCGAGGTCAACGGCTTGCCGTTCGTCTTCGTTTGTGCGTGCGTTTTTGACTGATTTCTCAGCGTTTTCGACGTCTGCGACGGCTCGGTCATATGACTCGGACGCGGGAAGGTGTCATCGCTCGTGAGCAGGTCAATACCGTGCAGTGAGCGGTAGCCATATGGCAAACGCTCGGACTGTTACGGCGCGTTCTTTCCGTCAGCTGGGTGTAGTTTGTTGTCAAACCGTATTTGGTCACAGACTGAGCCGTTCACTACAAGTGGCGGAGGACACGTATTGGAGCGGATGTACACTCGCCACGTCGCCGAGGTCATGCCAGTATTCATGTTAGCTTCGCGAGATGTGTCATAGATCGGCTTGTACCCGATGATGAAGAGCCGATGCAGGATCGTGTCCGTTTTCGTGTCTGAGTCGACGTTCGAGGTGTCCAAGAAGTACTTGCCCGTGAGGATGTCAAGCTCGTTGAACATGAACACGCCGCCCATGATATTCACTTTCGTACGTTCAAGCTGTAAGCAAGCTTTCTTGGTCATCACCTTGACGCGAAGATTGCTACCGGGGAGTTTCGACACTTGACCAATCGCGTGTTCGCCATACAGTTTCTCAAGCGCGTCGTTGCCGTGGTGTGAACCAGCCAGCGACGCCATGATCTTCTGCAATGGTGTCTTTGCGAAGGTGCGTCCCGTGACAATCACCATGTCATAGCGTGCGCGGGGCAACTCATGAGGTCGCGCTTGATCTATGCGTGAGGAGACAAACAAACAGTCACGCCCGGCAGCGCACTGGCGCTCGATAGATTCGACGTCACACGCAAGCGGCTTGGGTGTCTCGATGCGATTGCGTAAGGCGTCGATCACGATTTTATCGTGCCGAATAAGCATTTGACTTTGCAACAGCTCAGCCATCGTCGGACGTGTGTCGGCAGGTGCGGGTGACACAGTATCATTGGGGGGTAGCTACATCGGCTCGTCGTCCAGAGCAGAAGCAGCACTAGCGACGACTAAAGCGTCGGAGGGCGCGTTCGTCTCCCCGCCGTTTGAGGATCCTGATTCAGCAGGTACGGATACAGATGACACGAGAAGCCCTGAAAAGGGAGGCGACTTAGGAGCGCAAGAATGGGATGGGGATAGAGGGGTTGAGCGGGAGTTGGGCTCGCACGAGTCGGATTAAATGGCTGATGAAGACTTATAGATGGGCTGGCTCTCTCCAAATTTTTAGATAGAGATAGGCCGCCCTTGCGACAGTGCGCGAGACTGGGTGCGGATCCAATGTCGACACCTGTTGTGCCGACTGGAAGGCACGACAGGCGTTGACAAATGGACAACCGGAGGAAAAGTGTGACAAGCACGCAATGAATTCATGAGTAAAGAAATAGCGGCAGCAGATACGGAGAAGGAGGGGTGGGGTTCTTCTTATGATTTGACGTGTGGGGTTGCCACAAATTGAGAAGTGGTCGTATAGCTCAGTCGGTAGATGAAACGGGGTACACATACCCTGGTAACAGGGGGGTGTCACACCAGATGGGCATGGAGTGACCACATCCAAACAAGAATACGGTACAGGGCTGGATAGCCATTAGTCATACATGTATTTAGATTTTACAATATATATTAAAAAATCTATGCATTTAAAATTACGGCTTTGCCGCAGATAAACATG